AGATGGAGCTGTCATTGCCAACTGCGCATCACATTCATTATTCTGGGTGTAGCACTGTGCCATGAAATTATACAGTTCTCATTTAATTTTCATGTTCTTATAAAGCAGACAGTTCTAATACCTCAGTTTTTATAGAAGTAGAAAGTAAGGATTAGAGAAATTAAGAAACTCAAGGTGGGTGTGGTGGTACATACCTATGATTCCAGCATTTCGTAGGTGGAGGCAGGAGGAGGGTCAGGAGTTCGAGGTCATCCTCAGCTACAGAATGAGTTCAAGGCTAATATGGGCTACGTGAGACTGTCTGAACCCTTCCTCCTCTATGCACACATACACAAAAAAGGAAAAATCAATAAACTTGAGGCTTAGGAATAGCTTAGTTAGTAAAGTGGTGAAGACTCGAGGTCTCCAGTATCTAAGTTTTTTAAAAAAAAAACTGGCTGCTGCTGCTGCAGGTATCAGTAACCCCAGTGCTAGAAATGAGAGGTAGAGACAGGTGGATCCCTGGAGCTCACTGGCCAGCCAGCCTAGCCAATCAGTGAGCTCCAGGTTCAGCAAGAGATCCTGTTCCAAAAAATAAGGGAAGAGCAATTAAGAAAGCCACCCAATGCTGACCTCTGGCCTCCACATATATGCACATACATGCATGGATACCTGCATGCACATGCTTACAGCTACATGAACCAGTACATAAACCACATTTACACACTCAATAAAAAATAAAATTAAATTTTTTTAAATTAAGAAGCTTAACCCAGGTTATACTGCAACTAGGTATCAAAGCTGTACTTTGACCCAAATCTCTGCCCCTAGAGCCCACACACTTAACCAGTACCCTGTGTCCAGAGGTACATTCTTTCCTTCCCCAATACCAGCATCCACCAAAGAACAGTCACATTAACAAGCGGAAAACAAGTCACTGGTCCCTGTGATTCTAGAGGTAAGAAGAGGCAGAGATGGATCCAGAGGACAAGGGTACCCATAGTGAAGCCAGTGTGAGAAGTGACCTACAGTCAGACTATACCCCTGGTAACCACTGGGGTCATCTGAGTCCCAAAGAGCCCTCCAGCTTCCCTGGCAAGCATCCTAACTATTGTAGGTGATGACATTCTTTCCTATAGCATTTATTTCAATACATGCATCCTTCTACCTGCCCTGGTCTTTGCCTACTGTCTCACATTGGCTGGCTGCCCAGCACGTCTTTGACCTGTGGGTTTTATGAGATGATAAATCCTAAATGACAGAGCTTCATGATTCTGAATGGCACCTCGCATAGCATCTGCCACCTGTGGAGAGGTGCTTGGTGAATTAACTATCACAAACAAAATGCTCATGAACAAGTTTTAATGTCAAGTCCAGGGAGAGCTTGGTGACACATGGGGAGAAACTCTCCCTGGTGAAGCTATAGTTAAAGAGAGGATGTCACAGTAAGAGCAACTTCAAAGTTAAAAACCATCAAGTTTTTTTTTACTTAGCCAAGCAGCTAAGTAAATTAGTAAAAAGGTAGACTTGGGTGTTTACATAGCTAGCCTCACCTTTTATATGAAAACAGAGATAAACCCCATAAGCCACATTGAAATCATCAACAGATCCCTCTCCACTAACACGCTGGCCAAGAGCTCTGTGTATCCCGAAACCCCTGAAGGACTATTTCAATTCACCATGCAAGGTGGGTCCCCTCGGTGTTATAAAGAAGGGAAATGCCAGCTCGTAGTATCCATCACATTAAGTTTTTCAAGGCACCTTTGTGTAGTCACAATCCTGAGGAGTGATTGACTGGCCCCATAAGGGAGGTGACTCAGACAGCAGCTCTCAAAGTCCTGACTATGGTTGTCTGTTCTCTGGAACCCAGTGCTCCATGTTTCTGGCTACTGCCTGCTCTCACTCCTCCAGCACATTCCTGACAATCTCATGCTCTGATTGACTCATGGACTCTGGCAGAGCTTATACACAGAAGCAGCTCTGACTGCCTCTTGAAGCAGGAAAACCTGCATAGCATCTCCATGCTTTCCCAGAAAACCTAAGAGGTATGGGAATGAAGACAGTGCAGTGTTTGCCCCATTTTGGAAATGAGTGACTCAGCATAAGTTATGTCAAATCTCAGTCTTCTCATGACTATCCTGGCTTACAACACAGCCTTTAAAATATGTATGTAAATGATGGAGACCTACATGTCATAAGTCATACTTTAATAAAAAATAGAGGGCTTTAAGATGCTGTTCTAGTTTGTCTTCACTTGCTGTGACAAAACACTCTGACCAGTACCAACTTGGGGAGGAAAGGGTTTCTAAGGCTTACATCTCCCGGGTCAGTTCATCAGGGAGCCCAAGGTAGGAACTCAGGGCAAGAACCTAGAGGCAGGAACTGAAGCACAGGCCGTGGAGGAACACTACTTACTGGATTGCTCCCCTGGCCCATGCTCAGCCTGCTTTCTGATATAATGCAGAACAACCTGCCCAGGGGTGGCACTGCCCACAGTGGGCTGGGCCCTTCCACATCACTCAAAAACCAAGAAAATACCCCACAGACCTGGCCACAGGCCAATCCAATGGAGGAAACTCCCCAACTGAGGCTCCCTCTACCCAGGTATGTCAAGTTGACAAAGCTACCCAGCACAGATGCCTAAATTACTATTCATCGTATGCAAACACTAGCTCGCAAATTTCCTTTTTATCTGAAGGGAATGACTGCATCAGAGTCTTAAATCAATAGACATTTAACTGGTTAATACTTCCTAGGTGTTCTAGGAGAGAAGTGACAGGATGAATTATTAGTATTAGTGAAGGGAAGGATGAACAGGTGGAAGGTTTGTTTGAAAATATCTGGGAACAGATTACTAAGAATAAGAAATAAAATTTAAGCACGGTCAGACCTGTATCCATTTGATGGATCCCTCCATTAAAAAAAAGTTCATTAAAAATATATTACCATAGCTAAGCATGGTAGTACATGCTTAAAACTCTAGCACTCAGGAGACAGAGGCAGGAAGAGCATTAAGAATTCCAGGCCAATCTGGGATACAAAGTGAGTCTAAGGTAAACTTGGACAACATAGAAAGACCCTATCTCTAAAAAACAGCAGCAAATGTATTGCCAATGTTCTCTGCAGAAGGTAATTTTTAAAATGAAGAGTAATGAAACACTGTTCTATTCCAAACATAAAATATGCTTTTTTAAAAATATATATTTTATTATTTTTATTTTATGCCTATGAGTATATTGCCTGCATGTGTATAAGTGCATCCATGTTGTGCAGTGTCTGAGGTGGTCAGAAGAAGGTGTCAGATCCCCTGGAACTGAAGTTACAGACAGTTGTTAGCCACCATGTGGGTGCTGGGAATTGAACCCAGGTCCTCTGCAAGAGCAGCCAGTGCTCTTAACCACTGAGCCATCTCTCCCCACTACACCTATTTTTTAAGTCTTGAAATAATTCTAATTATGACTGAAATTCAAGTTGACTACTGAGTATTCTAAAGATATTTTCTGCAGATTCCAACTGGCAGCAAATGGGAGATTCCAGATTCCATCAAGACATACCATGGAATAGAAAGGAAAAGCATCATTAAAAAATAAATAAAAATATTATCAGCTATATAGTTTGCTCTATTTATTTGTAATCTCTCCTGTTACGTAAGATTTTCTGAAACCCCTTCCTGGAAATCAAAATGAAAATCCATTCTTTTTAACTTTTAACTTCAACTTTAATTTTATTTCAGAAATAATAAATCTGTTATTATATGCGTTTAAATATGGACATATAGAGATTTTGAGATAATCTAATTTTATCACTATGACCTCTTTCACTTAGGAAAGTCATAGAGTTGGTTTTCACCAGGAGTGTCAGTAACATGTTAATGCATTCTAATGGCTATGCATATGAAGTGTTATTATTAAAATTTAGATTCTATCTTCAAGGAGCAACCAAGGCGTGTCAAAGAATCTTCTGTAAACATCAGGTGATTTTACATTTCAGGAAAAAAAAGAGGGAGGGAAAGCTGAGACAGATTTTGGCCTACTGCCCACGTACAGCTTCTTTACAACTTATTTTTCCAATGTTTGTCAATTTTTGTCTTCCAGTAAATGTCCAAGGCAGACCAATAAATGAATACGAAACCGTATTACTGGATTTTTAAACCAGCATGGTCTTTGAGAATTATTTACTGTACAAAAGAGGCCACATGAATTATTTATCCTCAAGTGTGCCAGCCTTGATGTTGTCATGCTTCTTGACAAGTGTACACATGTGAAGTGTAGCCGACCCAGCTCCCTGGTCCGCCAAGTGCTGGGGAGGAAGGCAAAGCTGAGCTGGCCGGAGGTGCTGGGACACAGAGAAGAGCTGTCGGAAGTGAAGGAGGGCAGGGCACAAAGCCCATTCGCCTTCTGTGAGATCACCCACCCTCTGCTGTCCAGAAACCAAAATAAGTTCCCCCCTCTTATCCTAGGGGATCCATATGAAGAGAAGCAGCAGCCATCACCACAGCCTGTGGGTTTTAATGGAACAGGCAGCAAGACTGTGTCAGATTGCCTTTGGGGCGATTTGGTAGATGTGGTGTTAGCTGTCAGTCCCCCAGGAAGAGTGGGGTCACTCCTAAAGGCAGCTTCACCAGGGAAGGAAGGCACTCCGGCAATACAACTGCATAGAAAACAACCCACGGACAGCATCCAAACTCAAACAAAAACGTGACCACAGGTTTTTGCCCAATTACTGAAGATACCTTTAAAGTGCCCAACAGATTGGACCACCCACCTGCTGGACTCCTGTACTGAGCAGACCTGTCTATTTTTAACATCCTGCTGTATTAATATCTACAAATATGTTGACATAAAAAATAGGCATTTTATACAAATACACAGTGTGACTACATAGATTATTGTGTTAACATATTAAAATAAGCACAAGATGGCTTTATCCAGTGGAAAGAGCCCTTCCTCTCTCTCCTCATCGTTAAAGACATAATCTCCCCAGACAGCAGAAATGCCAAGTTTATAAAATAACACACAAACCTTTGTAGTCTTCAGAGACGTGATGAGAATCCAGTACTGCAGTCATGTCCAAGTCATTGACCTGACCAGGCTCTAAGTCTCAGCTTTGCTTCACCAGGCTCTGGCACCCAGAAGGACAGTGTCCACTCCTCAGAGGCAAGGTTGGGCCTGGCTCTCCTCCCAGGAGGGTGTGGGCTGATTTAACTTAGGGAGGGGTGTGTGCAGTGGGTGTGCCACAGGCCTGGGAAGAATGAGGAGTTTCCTGTGTGATTCCAGCACCTTCCTCACCTACAGAGCTCTCCTCCTGCATGCCCCACCTCACCTCCTGCCAGTTCCAAGAACCACTTTTAAGAGCCCCTCAGTTTACTGACACCACAGCCTCTAAGGAAGGCTGACCATTTCTGGGAAGTGGCTGTGAAAACACTGAGAACATTCCTGGGATTTTTTTCCTCCACTCTGCTGTAGTCCAGAATCCAGATTTTGATCAGTGTCATTTCACAATAGCTCAAACAGGAGACAGAGAAAGAAAAGGATAATTTTTCTACCCAAGCCTTCTGTTTCCTCCTTTTCTTTAATGAATTAACATCTCAACCAGATGGACTTTTATTACTATATTTTTAATACCAGGATTTAAAGAATACTATACTTGGAGAGACTTTTCTATCAGCTATTCATTGTGTCTTTGGAAACTGTCCCCTAACAAAGCGCTGGTGTGAGCTGGGATATGGACTTTGAGCCATATACTGTTAGGTTCACAAGGCTGAAAACAATGACCTCATCCAAAAAGGCTCAGGAGAGAGGTTTTTTTGTTATTGTTTTTTCTTTGTTTGTTTTCATGTCATAGTCAGTACATAGTGCCCTGAAACTGAGTTAGATTACCCGCTACCCATAATCCAAACCTTCTTCCAGTTATTTCTGAACACCAGGGGTTTTTGCATATTGGAAAAGTTATGGCAACAACTGAAATGAAAAGGACACTGAAGACAAACACCCTAGCCATCAGATGGATGGATTGTCTAGGAGAGAGGAGACTGACACACTGGTTATAAGTGGGCGAGAAGAATATTGAATTCTGACAACTTCACCCATCCACATTCTGAGATATTAATTTAATAAAAAGCCCAAAATTCATCCAGTGGAAACAAAAACAGATTAGCTAAATGCAAGTTTGATAAATCAGAGTCCTGGCTCCTTTTCCCCCTGTGTATTTGTTCTGCAGTGGCTCTGGTGGATAGATAGCCCCACTCATGGGTCCCCCACTCTCCCTTCCCTAGGGCAGGGTCACTACCTGGAACTCAGGGCCTCTGATAACATCCTCCTGACTTGGCAGCGGCACTAGGCGCCAGACACAGGATCACAACTGAATCACTCACTGATAAAATGCTTGGCATCTACAGAGCTGTCATGTGTTAGTTGGTACCAAAGGCCAGTCACATTAATGGAAATCTGATTATAACTGATGCCTGGCATTCTCATGACTGTGATTCCGTATTTCAGAATCACGGATGTTCCATTTTGTTACTGTCAGTGTCTTAAGACTTTTTTTAAAAACATCTGGACACAACAGAAGTCTATTATAGCTACATTCTTTGTTCTTATAGTTCTTTATTTAAAATGTAATGGGAGCTAGCTTTTCCTGGTCCCTTAAATCTCAAATTGTTATTCCTACTAATTTTAAATTGAAGGGCAGAGGGAAGCAGGCAGGTTGGGGAGGTAACTCAGTTGGTAAAGTGCTTGCTTCACAAGCATGAGGATCTGAGTACCATCCATCCCCAAAGCTCTCATAAGAGGCTGGGTGTGATGATGCACTGGTAATCCCAGTGATGGTGCCGTGAGATGTGCAGACAGGGGGATCCCTGGAACCTGTTAAGCAGCTAGTCCAGACTCCCAGTGATGTTCCAGGCCAAAGAGACCTTAAAGAACAAAACCTGAGGCTGTCCCCTGACCTCCTACACATGTATACACACAGTGGAAGTGGGAAAAGGAACAGAGCGTCATTTTCTGGGGGCTAAAACAGGGTTCTGGTTTAAAAGCACTGCTTCCTTTCACAGGGCAGGACAACTGAGGAAGAGCAGGACAGTCAATATTCAAACTTAATTACGAGTACAGTCATGCCTTCCCGGTTAGAGTCTTCTGTATCTGACTTCTGTTGAACCAGAGATAATTTGGTTTGCAATTCATTAGAATCAAACTGTTAAAACATGCATCCACTTTGTAATGAAATGGCAATGTACTACTACAACGTCATTACAAAAGCCGAGACACAGCTGTGTGTTTCTGATCTGACATAACTCAGTCATCTTTGACATTAGGATGAGCAGTTTCCCAATTCTGCTCCTAGAACTTCTCATGAGAAAGTGATTGTCACATAGTAAAAATAAACACATCAAAGTGCTTTCAACTGCATACCCACCTGTCTTTGAGAAACACTTGATTAGGCATTGTTAAGCAGGTTTCTTAACCAGGAGTTTAACATTAATATGCTGTGCACCATGTTACTAAGAGATGAACAAGATAAGAAATATTTCATAAATTCATTTGACCAGAATAACTCTGAGTCTTGTGTAACTATTAACCAGGGTTTGGACAGTGCTATTCTAAAGAAAGGAGAACCCTAGGAAGGAGTTTAAAGAAACTTTGCACTATAGTTTGAGAGGTGAGAAGTCTTAAAGGCTAAAGTAATTTAGGGACTTGCCCAAGGTTGCACAGACAGTATAAGGACAGTTCCCCTCCTGGTGACACTGGATTTTGCCATTTGAACAGCTGTTATAGGCTGGCATGCAGGTGAGGTGGGGCCCATGTGATGCTGTCTTCCCCCAGGAATCATGTACTACAGACAGCACACATGACTGCAGCTCACGTTAGAAGACCTGGCCTAGGATGGCTTTGCAATTACAGATTAGAAGATGAAGCTGACCAGAATGTAATTTATGATGGGTCGTGTGTGAGTGAAATATAACAGATATTGGTAATGAAGGATTCACAGGGCCCTGGCCTCATCTTTTAAACTAAACAGAAGAGACAAAAACTCAAGGCAAATTGAATTCCATAAGAAAAATGATTCCACCAGGAAAGACAAAAACTGAATTTATTAAAAGGTCATATTCAATAAGGAAGAAGAACCTTCTAGACCTTATCTAGAAAGCTCAGGGGAAAAAAAATTACACACTGATATGTCATTTTCCTTAAACTTGTGTTTTAATGATATTCTGGCAACTGGCCTCAACTCGAGCTCAGCTACGGGATTAGAGAGATTAGAAATTAGAAATTAGAGATTGGTTTCAAGAACTGAAGACTGTATAGTTTAGCCCACACTTAAACTGACAGCTAAAACTAGAAACAATCTTTGTAGTAGACAACTATATCTCTGCTGCCAGACTTGGTGTTTACTTATAATTCCCAAGCAAAGCCCATGAGGCTATTTTTGTGACTAGAAGATAAATTTTATGGATTTTTACTAAGATGCTATCAACTTCCATTGTATATGTCACTATATGTCTCAGATTCATAAACTGCAAATACGATCTCCTCATTATCATTCAAAGGTCACATTTACTGAGGACTTTCTTGAACAAAAATCCCCTTCCTCCTTCCCTCCCTCCCTAACTCCCTCCTTTGTGCTAGGGATAGAACCCAGGGCCTTGTGAATGCCAATCTCATGTTCTGCCACTGAGCTCCACCCAACTGCAGCCCATACCACTTTTTTAAAACCTTTTGAGGCAGGTACCACTATCTCCTCTGTAAAATGAGGCAATTGAAACAGACAATTTAAATCAAATTGCCCAAGGTCACTCCAAACAGAATAAAAATCAGAGATGGTGCCTAGGAATACAAAACCTGATATGAAACCTGACCTTACCTCAAGAATATGAAAACAGTTCAGAAAGAGTCAAAGATTTCAAAGCCATTTCTACTCCTACAGTAATGGGAAATGATACAGGGCACACGTTTGGCAGTACACAAAGCCAGCATATACCCAAAGCCAGCATATATCCAAAGCCAGCATATACACAAAGGCTCTCTAGACTTTTTTTTTTTTTTGAAAAGAAGTCTAAATACTGGAGATTGTACATGAGAGAAAGGTTCTTAGTATTTATATCAAAAAATCATTTTTCTGAATTACATTCTGTTTTCATAAGATTTTCATGAAGTAACATCATTCACAAAGACGGTCTCTGTCTCTGCTAGGGCTGCAGTGTGTGTGTTGGGGGGCATCACAGCACGCTGCTTCCCTCCTCTTGTGAACATTGAACAGAGGCAGACAGCCAGAGGCTGCCATCCATCAGAATTATCAGGAAGTAGGGCTGGAGAGGTGACCTTCAGTGGTTAAGAACACTGACTGTTTGTGCAGAGGACCCGGGTTCAGTTTCCAGCACCCCCGTGGAGGTTAACAACTGCTGTAACTCCAGCTCTAGGAGATCCGACACCCTCTTCTGGCCTCTGTGGGCATTGCACACATAGATGCACTTAGTTACATGAAGGCAAAACATACACATAACATAAGAAAATTTAAGATAAAAACTACCAGGAAGAGGCAGACAACCCAGGTTCTTGTCCTGACTCTACTGCCAACTAATCAATGGTCCTAGGCAGATCACCAAATTGTCTTCCAAATTTGTAAAATGGGCAGCTAATATCTGCTTACCAACCTTGAACTAGATAAGAGAAGAGAGAGTCCACTCCTCACTGATAACCAATCTTTTCCTTCCTTCTTTCTCTTTCTTTCTTTCTTTCTTTCTTTCTTTCTTTCTTTCTTTCTTTCTTTCTTTCTTTCTCTCCCTCACTTTCCCTCCTTACCCTTCTTTCCACCCTTCCTCCCTTGTCTCCTTTTCCATTTTGTTTAATTAGTAGTTATTTAGTAGTTGCCAAAGGGGGAAAAAATACTCTGAATCACTGCTTTATGGTCCCCGTTCACACCTGCCAAAATGGTGCTAATCTTTCTCTAACAATTATTTTGGCCCAGGGTTTTATAAAAGATTGCTTATGGCTCTTAGTTATTCCTCATAACAATCTTAGGAGGTAAAGACTGTTGTTAATTTCTTTTTAACAGATGAGAAAATTAAACCTAAAGTAAAAATTCCAAGGTCACTGTTTGTAGGCAGAGGAGTAGGGACTTGAACTTCAGTCTATAGGACTTGATCACTGCCACAGTGAGATGTGATGATCCCAGGACTCCACTTCCATATCTCAAAGTCTTTTCATGGTCCTACTGAGGGTGGAGCCAATGAACCAATGTCAGTGCTGTTGTAGGCAGCTGCACCAACTTTTTATACAGAGGATAACTGCACACAGATGCACTTGGCAGTGATCAGAAGACATGGTCTTCATCTCTCCTACGCAGCTCAGAAGTTTACGGTGCTGGGTTT